TTTTTTTCATCCAATATCTATAAAAGTTGTGATATCTTGAGATAAAGCCCCTTCTAGCTTCAACCCTATATCATGCGCACAGAATAAATGATTGAGTTTTACCTTTGGGAACAAAGTAACCCGCGAGGGTAGTATCTTCTCGGGCTACATGATGGGGCATGAACACATTAGCTGGGTGCAGCCGAAAAGATTCTCTGCTACAAGCTTTGATGTAGTTAAGTTGTGGTATGTCTGATTCTTGCACAAGTCTATCTTTACCAACTATCATGTCCAGTTCATTTGTGGCTTTCTCAAGAATCTCTGGGTGATTCAACATCTCAGCTATCGTCCACTCCACGTTATTCATCGTATTGTCAATTGTTGCAATATTGATTTCCTACATACACGTAACAGATTAGTTTAAACCATGCTAGGATCTCATCTCATACATGAAGTTAGAAGGAATCAATAGTAATATAAAAGTTATATGGCCCAATCGATTCATTGCTAATTTGTTTTGAATTGAAAGTCTATAAATTTCCATAAAACCTAATTTTATGTGTGAACATCACTAACCTTGCATTGAGCCCTAATCTCATCAAATGTGTACAAATGCATTCCTTGATCATGTTTTGACGTGATGAGGATATCGAGCCAGTCTTCTTCCATAGCTTTTCCGCCTTTCTTCCTCCATAAATGTATTCTCTCTTCGATGATCGGGTCGTTACATCTGTTGATTATATGAACCGCTTCTCTTACCTCCTTCTCCTCTTTATCTACGTTCCATCCTCTAAGAAAAGGGATGTAATTTGTTAAGTTGAAGCTGAAAAAACAATCAAGAGCTAGGTATATTGCGTCCATATGCTCTTTCTCTTTTGGCCCGAGACCGCCATTCTCTACCGCTTCATCAAAATACCTCTGGCCAAACATCATCCTCATCATCACGGCGTGGCAATAAGTTAAGATCGTATCCCTCACGTTAATCGGCTTCGTCACTGACCCTAGTCCGCATAGATTGTAGACATATGTGACGATATTATCGGCTTCTATGTTTCTATATCCGAGGGTTTTGCTCAATGTTGTTGGGGACATAAGTTTGGTGGTCATCACTTTCTTCATCAGCTTCCAGTTCCCTCCGTAGGAAGAGAAAGAAATGTTCTTATAGCCATGGCTTATGAGATGGCTCGCGTACGACTCTGACCTGTCTGCGAGAACCTCGTCTTTCTCCCTAAGCACTTCACGGGCAATCTCGCTTGAGGTTACGGTGATGACGTGAACACTGGCAAAGCGGAAGCAAGCTATCTCCGTTTGCAGTTCTTCCATGACACGGTGGATCCACAAGTGAGCTGGTCGGTTCGTGATCATTTGGAGGATGTTTCCAATGATTGGCCATCCCCGTGGGCCGGGAGGAAGCTGATCTTTTGGTTTCATGGATCTTGAAAAACGTCTAGCAAGAGCCAAGACCAGCGTAATGGAAATTAAAACAAGTGTGAAACTATATGGATTCGTGATAATACTCATGGTTATGGTCAAAAAGATTTTTTGGGAGTTGAAAAGAGGTCTCACTTTTAAGCTAATAGTGGAGAAATCTTACTACAAAATGAGTAATAATAACGTTCCCCTAGCTATCTATTTATACATTTCAAGTTTCATATAGAACAGTATAAAATATTGTTGGTCTAGGAAAAGAAAACCATTCTATATTAATCAATTAGAGACCCTAATAAAAAGATTGACCTAGGTAGCTAGTAGCAGCAACTTACATATATAATTGTGTTACGGTCATTTTGTAAGATGGATATATTGTCCTATTATGCGGTCAAATTTTTTTAATCTATGCTTGCTAGAGTTCGTTTTGGTGAATTCGATGAAGTCGGAAAGCATCAAAGGAAAGAATAATATTGGAAAAAAATCGATTATAGTAAAGTTTTCTTACTAAATCCAGTACTTATTAAAACCCCATACTTAATAGGAAAATGAAATCTTTTATACCTTATTCTCTCTAGTCACTTGTGTAGAGTTCTCTCTATCAAAAATAGTGTTCTAAAAAGCGGTCTAGGCGGTCGCCTGGGCCCCGATTAGGCGCTAGGCTCTCATTCGACGCCTAGATAACCGCCTTGACCGCCTAAAATTACATAGATCTTGTTTAATGTATTTTTCAATTTCAATTAGAGTTTTATTTATATATATAGTTATAAATATTCATATATTGTTTAATATAAATATAAATAAATATTTTATCTAGTTTTTGTTTATAATTTCATAATTTTTAGTTTTATATTGATATTTTATATAACTTTTATATATATTATCATATTTATAATGTATTATGTTATAAACGTCTTAACCGCCTAAAAAATCGCTTAGGCCCCGATTAGGCGTTCTAGGCGCTAGGCACTGGGTCACCGCCCGCTTAGCGCCTAGCGCTTTTTTGAACATTGATTCAAAATAGATATTCCTTTTTAGTATACAGAAAATGACATTCAAAAATAATATTTTTGAGATACCAAACCAAAAGAAAGTTCCCAAAATATACCGTTTAGTATATTTTATAGATAAAACTTGTCTTAATCTCTCTATAGTATCATAGCATTATAGTCTAAATATCGAATTGGTGCCTTAGAGAACTTTTATCCATTTGTCTAAATATTTTTGTTTTTTTTCCTTTTCTTTCAGAAATGTGCGTGAGAGGGCTTTATTTCGTTCTATGATTTGATTGCACCATTGCTTTAATGTCTTTGGTTTGTATTTTGTAAATCTCCTACCCCTTTTATTAGCTCGCTTGAATTCTTAACTATTCATACGTCAAAATTTTATTCCGAGAGTTTTCCTCGATTTCGTGAGAAGTCAGAATAATCGTATATACGCGATGACAATTAATTTACTTCATAATAGACTAATAAGTACATTTATGTACGTGATGGATGCATATGTTTCTTGATATAGACTCATTTGCTTGATGTCAAATTGCAAATTTAATTTAGAATTTTAGTCAGGGACATATTAAATAATGTTTTAGTCAATATAAAATAATTAAAAAAACAACAGTTACTGTAAAACAATTTTTTTTTGTCGAAAAGATACCTATTGTTAGTTAGACAGGAGTATAGTTAACTAATGGAAGAAAAATGATGGAGTGCATTACTATTGGTCATAGTATATATATATATCAACCATATAAATCTTTATGTTTTTTTAAAGTCGCTTCCATATTGGTGGCCAATGAAAACAAGTGAGTGATTTGTATTATAGGATTAAAGAAAAGATATGGAAGTCTTGCAAAATTCAGTTTTAAAAGCTGACTAGATGGGAAGTCATTTTAAATGGTTCTTTGTTAGATTTTTCACGTATCATCAGTAGACATGTCAATTAGGGCCAAAGCCCGCGGGCTAGCCCGGCCCAGCCCTGAAAAACAGCGGGCTCGGGCTTAAAAATATATGTCCAGAAAATATCGGGTCTTTCGGGCTAAGCCCGTTCGGGGTAAAGGGTTTTTTGGGCTTAGCCCGGCCGGGCTCGGGCTAGCCCGAAAAGCCCTTTAAAAAATATTTTGATCTTTTTTTTTTTAATATTTTCCTTTAATTGTAAGATTTGTTGTAAAAAAAGTGTTTGATAGAGTTGAAAACTCTAAACATAGTTTTTTTTGTTGTGTATTACTATAAATCGAAAAAAACAAATATTAGCTCTACTACCTAATTTGAATTATTTTGATTTTATATTTTATCTAGTATAAGTTTAAACAATTTATTTGGATTATTTATTTGATTTTAACTCTCTTTTAAAAAAACTAAATTAGCGTTAGTGGTTATTTAAATTTTGATTGACTCGTTTCATATATACATTCTTTTTTAAGAGATATTATAACTTATAAGTTTGTTTTTTTGTTGTCGGAAGAAAAGCCCAAAAAAGCCCGAAAAAGCCCTGTAGCCCTGTTAGGGCCGGGCCGGGCTTTAAAATATAGGCTCGGAATTTTTACGGGCCGGGCCGGGCCGGGCTCAAATATGTACGGGTTTTGCGGGCTTCGGGCCGGGCCGGGCCGGGCTAGCCCGATTGACATGCCTAATCATCAGTTTTCTTTGCAAATACTATGATTTTCTAAGGGAACAATCACTCTTGTTCTAAAATTGATAAGATTTTAAACATCTTTTTTTTTTTTTAATTAAAGACATGTTCTAAAAATTTAAGTAATGTAGTCCTAAATTACCAAGTGAATTTAAAGATAGAAGATTATGGGGTATTTATGCTCTTTTTTTCTTGCATCCTTTTACGTTTTTCTAGGAAATTATTACAATTTTGTTAACGAAGAAAAAGACTTAGTTTTTTGAAACAGAAAACAGAAGAAAAAAAAGACAGTTGACGAGGACATCTTCGCCTTCTTGGTGTCTTCTTACTAGTTTATGGTTTTGTCGGTTTGTTTGGTATCTTCTTATTAATGCAAATTCTCTATTCATTATCTATAAAATATTCACCAAAAAAAAATCTATAAAATAATATTGCTTATGGCTAATAATTAATTTGACTAACTATGGAGTTTACTTTTATAATTAATTATAAACTCGTAGCAGTGTTTCTCATGATTAGTCAATTGTAGTGTGAATTCATAGATACGCGCTTGGTGATATATAAATTCATGTATCTGCATGTTGACACATACGATTTTGAGTAATTAGGTAAATGAAAAAACATTTTAGAGATTAACTAATAACATGTTAGGAGAGTCATGACTTTTAGTAATATATTATTTTTTCCATAAAATGCGTTCACGTCACGGTTCTGGTTCTTTAGAAGAATGATTCATCATGTTTTCAAGTTCGTTGATTTGCTTAGAATCCAAATCATTACAACATATGGTTATATCGAAATCGGTGCAAGCATTGTTGTTGCTTGTAGCAAGGTTATTAATGAGAGCTCGTCCTTCTTGAACAATCTTGATAGTAAAGTCTCCATTGTTGGCCGTGTCGAGTGAAAGATAAAACTTGGGGTGTAATTCTCTATCGAAGGTACTTAAGAGGTTATTTTTGGTGAAGCCATTGGTGAGGGAAATCACGTTCGTAGACCTTGAAACATTCCCATGCTTCATAGAAAGATTCGACAGGTCCTTGTTGCAATCCTTGCAGCTTGTTTCTAAGATAGTTGGATCTCGACTTCGTGTAAAAGTAGTTGAGAAATGTTGACTTGCATCTTTCCCAATTAGTAATCGATCATGGGGGTAAAGACTTTAACCATTTATGAGCTTTGTCAACTAGAGAGAAAGGGAAAAGATTACACTTTAAATAGTCTTCATGTACTCTAGGAGTTCTGGTAGTACTGCAGATTTCTTCGAAAATAACTATGTGATCCATTATATGCTCCATGCTAAGACTATAAAATTGGTTTTGCTTCACAATACCAATGATTTGAGGTTTTATCTAATCACGTCTTGGCAGATGAGGGACTCGTATGGCAGCTCGATCTTACGGGTATTGATTTGGAGCATCAAAATCAGCTACCATACAATTTGGAGCGGCACGTCTAAGAGGGTGTACGTAAGCAGCTTGTCTTGCAGCAACATTAAGAGAATGTTGGGCACTAGCAACATGAGAAGGATGTTGGGCAATAGCAACATGAGAAGGCTGTAGAGGAGGAACGTTGAGGTTGTTGTTGACCTCGGCCAACAAGAGGGTCGAGTTGTTCTTCAGCAGGTTCGTAGATGGAGTTGCCATCTCCATCATGTAAGGGTTGCCATGCTCATCAAGGGCTGGGACACGTTGTTGCGGATCATCAAGGTCACCTTGGTATTGGTTCCTTTGATCTGCAATGAGTAGTTGTCTTCGAAGTTTTTTGATATCATGTTCAAGTCTATCGATGTCTTGGTATGGAGGTACATTTCCTGAGTTTTGACTCCTACTCATACACTGCATAATTCAAGAAAATATAAACTAAAAGGGAAACATAAATTATCGAAAAACAGAAAAAGTAAAAATTATAAACGAAAATTTCTTAGTATCTTAGAAGAGATTTCTTATCGAATTCAATGGTAGCTTGTATCAGTCTCCAATAATGGCGCCAAAAGGCTAAATGTGCGATTATTTTCGCTTTAAGGTTTTACCTTAGAGACCATATGTTAAACTGCAAGTGTATAGTAATCAATCAACTCTTCCCATAATTCCAGAAAATATAAACTAAAAGGGAAACATAAATTATCGAAAACAGAAAAAGTAAAAATTATAAACGAAAATTTCTTAGTATCTTAGAAGAGATTTCTTATCGAATTCAATGGTAGCTTGTATCAGTCTCCAATAATGGCGCCAAAAGGCTAAATATGCGATTATTTTCGCTTTAAGGTTTTACCTTAGAGACCTTATGTTAAACTGCAAGTGTATAGTAATCAATCAACTCTTCCCATATGAATGTTACATCAGCACACATAAAATTGACACGTGGCTAGACACAGTTTGCAAGATAAAAAAAAGAACTGAAAAATGTGAGGAGTCAACATTTGAGGAGAATCTATCTTTGGCCTACACAAACTCATCCTCAAATGGAAACCAGTAGATTATCACCACTTGGTTAAACTATTAAATCTCTATGTTTACTATATATCAATGTTCAAGAAAGCGGTAGGCGCTAAGAACGTGGTGATCTAGTGCCTAGCGCCTAAAATGCGCCTAATCAAGGCCTACACAATTTTTAGGCGGTTTAGACGTTTATAACATAAAACATTATAATTGAAAATTGTATTTATATTTACAACTAATGCATTAGATTGTATTAAATATAAAATATAATCTATTATTTTTTCAAACATAGAACTAATATAAATAATACTATAAAAATATTTTTAGCGATATATAAACCCGCAGGTAATACATGTAACTAACCACTTTTGAGAAAAATAATAAAAAAGAATGTCATGTTCCTCTTTGTTCCTCAATTTCTATTTACCATTTGTAAGAAATTTTAGTTCCATTTCAGACATGTGGGTTCTATACTTTTCCTCTTTATTGAACAAAATTGTTTCTCCCCAAAATTGTAGAGGAACAAAATTAAAAAATTTATTTTAAATTGTTTAATAATTTTAAAATAAATTTTATTTAAATTTCTATATATAATATTTTCCATATTTTTAATATAAATTTATATAAAAAACTTTTCTCAATTTTTTTTAATTTAAATGAATGTTACGACTTTATTTTAAATTAATATTTATACTTAAATAAATAAATAAATGCTTTCAAGTGAAAGTTTTTTAAATAAAATCTTTGAATTTATACTAGATTTGATTTTAAATTTATATAACACATTAATTATAAAAGAAATTTATAAACTAAATAAAATAAATAATTTTTAATGATTATTTTGTTAAATATTTATTCAACTTTTTGATTACCATTTATGATTTAGCATAATCATTTATTCAATTTTCATGTTTCTTTTCGTTTCTCGTTTTGGTTATTATTTTTTTTTTTTTTCCATTCATTTCTTTTCTATTCTTATTGTTCTTTCACCAATCGGAGCCACAACAAAAATTGCAAACTATCCTTCTTAAATTATGGCTTCGAATGGTGACATCGGATTAAGCGGTGCGGGACAAGCGGATTTAGTAGTGCGGTGCGGTTTAACTGCGGTTTGTTGAAGAAAAACGCATTATTCGGGACAAGTGCGGTTAGTGCGAAACAAGCGGTACAAAATAATATATGAACGGTGAAAAACAATATGCGGTGCGGTACAAATATTTTGAATGGTGAAAAATACAATAAATAATTTTCTTAAAAATATATTTTATAAGATTATGATATCATCAAAATTTTAAAATTAAAAATTTTAATTTCTTTAACTAATGATCTTTTTTTTGTCATCCGTTTTAAATTAAAGATTAAAAAAACCATTCTTGAGGAATATTTTTGTTTAACTAATGATCAAACGTTTCATTTATTATTACGAACCACAAATACCAAATCTATTAAAATTTAATTTGATATTCTTTTAAAATATATTTCTTGGTAGAAAAAGTAAAATATTAGATTTTTATTATCTAATGATATTTTAAAAAATAAAATTTATTAAATATTTTTGATAAATGACGAAAGTACATAAAAAAAGTGTTCATGAAAACATTTTTGATAAGGTTTTGATTTAGTTAGTTTTTTTTTGTTCTAGTAGAAAAACAAAAATTATGATACTTATAAAAAATAGAAATAAAAGTACACATGCTGAAAACCACACCATATTTGTGGTGTTTAACTGTACACTACGGTTCTTCATGTTTTCTCTCTCATATGTTCCGCTAAAATACCATATACTCCCTCTGTTTTATATTAGTTGTCGTTTAAGGTTTTTTCACGCCTACTAAGAAAACATTCAATTTTTCTGTTTTACCCCTAATTAATGTATTGTTTTATTTGATATTGTTAATAAATAAACTTAAAGAATAGGGGTAAAATTGGAAAATCTATCAAACATGTACATTGAAAACAGAAAACGACAACTAATTTAAAACAAAATTTAACTTTTAAAACGACAACTAATTTAAAACGGAGGGAGTAATATTTTAACTTTTTTAATTGATGAAAAATATACACTTAAGGAATGGTGAAATAAAAAGTGTATCTAACAAAACCGTAGTAAACCTCGTTTCCCATTCACAGCCTATATCAAGTATTGTTCTTACATAAATTACTAAGATATCTTAATTTATCAATTGCTAAGATTTTTCACAGTAAAAACGAATAACACAACTTAGGAAAATAAATTTCGAAACCATAAGAAAAATAAAAACCATAACTTTAAATTACATAAATCTTCTCATTTTCTATTTTAATTAATAATTCTACCAAAAAAAAAAAAAAAGAAAGACTCGAAGAGTCACCTAAAAGCCTAAACAGGTTTAGCTCTCTGATCACTTTAATTCGACTCCCAAGTGATACAGTTGGAAATTAAATTTAAAGACATCTCAAACGTCTTTAACCAATAAAACCACAGAGTTTACAATACACCTTACCACACTAGATCCCACCTAAACCCATCGACCATCGTCACCAGTCACACATGGTCATCCATCAGACCAGCCAAACAGTCTCTCTCTCTTCTCTCTCTTTCTCTCTCTAGCGATCACACTTCCAAAACCTCGTGGATCGGATCTTTCTTCTATGGCATCATCAGCTCTATAGTCTCACAATTTTGACTGATTTTGAAACAATTAGGGTTTTAATCTCTTGGACTTGGGAAGTGTAATGGTGTTTTGCTCAGAAATCGTTTGTTTTAGTGCCGACGGTGGTTGAGTAATCAGTTAGTTAAATCCGGCGGAGTTGGTTATCTCTCTGCGGCGGTGAATATGGCTGCTTCACCTGCGAAGTTCTTCTTCGGGTTTCTAATTGTTTCCATCGTTTTGTGGATGATCTTCATGTGAGTTCTACTGTTGTAACAAGTTCAAATTAGTTTAAATCGCAGATGGTAGCTTATAGTTTCAATTTTGGTTCAGACTTTGTTCCAGGTTATTTGCTTGGATGCTTAGTAGAGTGCTTGGAGCATCGGTTGTGTTTCGTGTTGGCGGTTGGAAATGCCTTAAGGATGTTGTGGTGAAGTTTAAAAAGGTGAGTACTATACATGTTGTAGTTATTCTACTGAGACAAATGACTATAGTTATTTGCTAATGAGTTTCTGCGGCGACGAAGGTTTAGCTTGAGGATGATTTGCTGCTGATTTGGGTGTTTTTTTCTAGGGTGCTGTTGAGTCGGTGTCCGCTAGTGAAATTAAACTAAGCTTACGCCAGTCCTTGGTCAAACTTGGCGTTGGTTTTCTTTCTAGAGATCCGAAAATGCAAGTTTTGATATCTGATCTTGAAGTTGTGATGAGGTCTTCAACTTCAACAACGAAATTACAGAAGGCCAAAAGTCAGAAATCGCGTACTTCAGGCAGGGGAAAGTGGATGGTGGTGGCTAATGTTGCAAGGTTTCTTTCAGTCTCTGTCGCTGATATGGTTGTGAAGGTAGTTAGTTTGAGATCCAAATTCCAGACTGCTCTTGGATAGGTACTTCTCTGTAAACCATTTTCTAACAGCCTATGTTAAATGCAGACGCCAAAGGTGATTGTGGAAGTCAAGGAACTGAAGTTGGATATAAATAAAGATGGTGGGACAAAGCCAAATCTATAT